AACACAAGAAATTAGACGTGCTAATCAGGAAATCATACAAACAAGCATTAGGCCTACCGCCCAACACATCCAACGAGAAGCTGCTAGCCCTGGGACTACACAACACCTTGGACGAACTCATAGAAGTCCATCTCACGTCCCAACAACAAAGGCTTGCAATCACCCAAACCGGTCGCAAACTCGTACATCACCTTGAGTACCCGCCCCGGCAACCCGAAACCTCCACAGAAGATATCCCCAAGGAAATTAGAAGTGACATGGAAGTAGCCCCAATCCCTCGCAACATGCACCCAGAACATCATGAGGGACGGAGAACAGCCAGAGTTCGATGGCTGGAGAAAATATACGGCCAAAATGACGAAACAGTCTACACTGACGCGGCCGACTATGCTCAGGGACCCGCTATGACAGCGGTGGTCACTAACTCCTCGAAGATCCTCACAAGCCTCACACTTAGACAGGCTACTACGCTACATGCGGAAGAGGTGGCCATCGCTCTCGCTGTCGCCCAAACCCCAGCCACAACAATTATCACAGATTCACAATCTGCCTGCAGAACCTACGCGAACGGAAGAATCTCTAGAACCGCCTTGAACATTCTACTTCAAGCACCCCTCACAAGAACCGTGACTATCGTTTGGACACCTGCGCACTCGACCCTCCGTGGAAACCTCGCTGCTCATGCGAGCGCCCGAGAACTAGCCGGCCGGGCTCCACAAGAGGACCAGAAGTGGGTCAGCCAACCACTGGTAACATTCAGAGACGTCACACAACACTATAAACTTTCCCGGCTTACCTACCCGCCGAGCCACAAATCAACTACGAAAGAACAAGAAACAATGCTCAGGCAATTACAGACTAACACCTTTCCCCACCCTACAAGACTCCACGCCATTTTCCCAAACTTACACAAACCAAACTGTCCCCATTGTAACGAACCATCCACACTCTACCACATGATCTGGGCCTGTCAACGCAATAAGGATATCACAGCAATACCCCATCCAACCATCGAGCAGTGGGAGGAAGAGCTGTGCAGCTCTGACCCGGACCGACAGCTACGGCTGATCGAGAGGGCTAGGACGGCAGCGAGGTCCATTGGAGTCCTGGACTGAGGATTCCACTCACGGCGCTATTTTTTTTTTCCTTATTGAATGAAGTTTTTCCTCCTCCTATTAGTGAACGTTACAGGTCGAGCTAACGCAGATACCCTGCCCCCTCCGCGGTAGTGCGTTGGCTACGCAATCAGGCTCACGACGTCTCTATCGGCCTTCGTGGTGGTCATGCACGGTGTCGAAAGCTTTCAATAGTTCACGCGACTATCTTAGTGGGTAGAAAAGCTGACATTTCGGTCGATCAGGGGCGGGTTTCGACCTTCTACAGGCAGAGATTAACGAGGCAGCGAGCTTGGGCTGTGGCACCCGGAATAATAAATAAACTCTTACCCGAACCAAATCACCGGTGCGAAGCCCGTTAAAAATACGAGTCAATTCTTTTCGCGGCGGATTCAAGTGACGGACGTGAACACCAAGTTTCTCTGCTGATTTGTCGAAAGCTAAGACTACAGCGCTAGGACTACAGCGCCTTGGACGGCTCACCAGCGACAGGTACCATCTTGTTTCGAAAGTCACTGACGTCACGGCAGCGTCACGTTTTGATTGGTGGCCGCTTTGCGGTTCGTGAAAGCGGTTGGGAGAAATCGGTCCCGAAGCGGATGGCAAAAACGCGCTCCAACCGCTCGATCATGGCCGCTTTGTGGTTGAGAACGCACGGATCCGCTTCGCGTTTGCGGATCCGCTTCCAGTGTGAACGCGCCACAAGACTGCATTAGGAGTTTTCGTAGACCGCGTTTCTGTATCGTATCAGATCAAGGCGGACAAGCTATCTGGATGCTCCATTGCCACGTGCCTTTCCTTTGCCCTCTACTACACTAACCCCTTTCCACCTTCGGCTATATAAGTAACAACACGGAATAAACCAAAGCATTGTTATCCTGATACCCGAGTTGTCTATTCTTACCAGCCCACACAAGAACGATACATGGTGTCAGAAGTGGGATTGAACCGAACGTGAAGGTCGACGTCATGGAGCACCTAAGGCTGCCTGAACCGTTACAACTGACAGCTGATGGAGGAAGAAACTGGAAACTGTTTCGTCAGAGGTTCGACCTTTTCCTTCAAGCCACAGCAAGCACCGACAAGCCGAGATCGGAGGCGGCAAAGACAGCCCTGCTGCTTAGCGTGGCGGGAGAGGAAGCCTTGGACGTGTTTAACAACTTTGTGTTCACCGAAGAAGAAAACAAAGAAGACTACGCCACCGTGACTGCCAAATTCGAAGAATACTGCGTGGAGCAACAAAACGAAATTCACGAAAGATACGTCTTCCGCTCCCGTCTGCAGGGCGAGGCGGAACCGTTCGAGCAGTTTCTACGTACCTTGAAGAGACAAGCGCAGCACTGCAACTTCGGGACCATGGCAGACGAGATGGTACGCGACCAAGTGGTGTTTGGAACCAACTTGCCGAAGCTTCGAGAGAAGATGCTCAGGGACAAACACCTGACCTTGGAAAAGGTCGTCACCTTATGCAAGGCGGCAGAAACATCAGCTCGTCAAAATGAAGTCTGGCGTAAGGCAAGTGAAGAACTCGACGTTAACGCTATGAAGACCAGCAAGAACGCTCCGACAAGACCCCGGCGCAACCCGAACTGTACGCGCTGCAATCGAAGGCATGCCTTGCGACGCTGCCCGGCATACGGAAAGACCTGCTACTCGTGCAATGGGCGGAACCACTTCGCATCTTGTTGCCGCGAGAAAGATGCCGTTTACGAGGTACAGCATGAAAACGACGACTTCGAGGTGCTGGATTCGCAGTCGGCAGCGCCAACAAAAAACGCGACTGGCTGGTGGACGCGTGTCTTCAAGGCAAACACCTAAGTTTCAAAGTTGACACAGGGTCACAAGCTAACGTGTTACCACTATCAGTATTCCGCAAGTTCAAGACCGTGACGCTGAAACCCAGCGGCGCTGTTCTGAGATCCTACGGTGGCGACGTCATCAAGCACGTCGGTACATTTTTATCGCCCGTGACGGTAGGCGACCGCCAGATATGCGCCGAATTTTTCGTGGTAAAGAACGGCCACAGCGCTATCTTGGGCTTGGCAGCTAGCGAGCAGCTAGGCATCGTCAATCGCGCTATTGAAGGCGTGTCGACGAGCAACACCGAAGCAGTCTTCGAGGAATTCCCGCAGCTTTTCCACGGAACCGGGCGTACCCCGAAAGAATACAAGATGGTGCTACGCAAGGACGCCGTGCCAATCGTTCAGCCAGCTCGAAGGGTTCCCCTGTCGCTGCGAGAGCCTCTTCGTGCAGAACTGGACCGAATGGAACGCGAAGGCATCATTCAGAAGGTCAGCAGCCCGACGGACTGGGTAAGCCCGTTAGTCATTGTACTAAAAAAAGACAGCAAGTTGTGGGTATGCATGGATCCCAGAAGGATTAATGAAAACCTGAAAAGAGAACACTACCAAATGCTTCGTAGAGAAGATATTGAAGCGGACTTGGCAGGCGCGAAGTTTTTCTCGCGTCTAGACGCGAACGCGGGGTTTCACCAAATCCCACTCGACGAGCAATCATCCAAGATATGCACGTTTGCCACGCCGTTCGGCCGTTATCGCTTTCTACGCCTTCCATTCGGCATAGCGTCAGCTAGTGAGGTGTTTCAAAAAGCCCTCAACGAAGTGTTCGAGGGCCTTCCTGGCATACGTGTATACGTGGACGATGTGCTGATCTGGGGTGCGACTAGGACGGAGCATGACCAGAGGCTGCACGATGCACTAAAGGCAGCTGAAGCAGCGGGCCTAACTTTTAATGCAGCCAAATGCCAATTCGGCGTTCAAGAAATTTTGTTCCTGGGCGACATCATTAGCCACAAAGGCATTAGCCCCAATCCCGCCCTTGTGGACGGTCTTCTCAAAATGCCAAAGCCACAAGACAAATTGGCAGTACAAAGGTTGCTCGGGGTTGTTAACTATTTTAGCAAGTATCTACCGTCACTTTCCCAGCGCACTTCGACTCTGCGTTCCCTGATCAAACAGGACGTCATTTTTGAATGGACACCTAATCATGAAAACGAGTGGCAAGCCATATGTCAGGATCTAAGCGAGGCACCGCTGCTTGCTATTTTTGACCTAGGTTTGGAGACGAAGATAACTTCAGACGCATCTCAAAGTGGCATTGGCTCCGCACTCCTACAACGTCATGGGGACTGCTGGAAACCGGTCGCTTACGCGTCGAGAGCGCTGAGTGAATCGGAACAGAGATATTCGCAAATTGAAAAAGAGGCTTTGGCGTTGGTTTTCGGTTGCGAAAAGTTTAACCATTTTGTGTATGGTCGCCCACTCATACTCGAGAGCGACCACAGCCCGCTGATAAACATATCTAGGAAAGGCATAGCCGATATGCCGCCAAGAGTGCAACGTTTTTTCCTACGATTGCTCAAATACGATTACACGTTGATATTTGTTCCTGGCAAGCAGATGGCCTTGGCTGATATGCTCTCTCGATCTCCTGCTCCTGGGAACAAGGGGGCCGCCGACACGGGCGACGTAAAAATTCACGCCGTCACAGTCGTATCAGGACTCGTAAGTGAAAAAACGGCTGCGAAACTTGCACACGAAACCGCTACTGATCCGTATCTTAGCGTAGTACTACGAAAGCTCGGGAGGGGAGACGAAGTGGAAGGGGCGCTGAAATCGGTTGCCGCCGAACTTTCAGTAGTAGACGGCATACTTTTGAAAGGAACGAAAGTAGTAATTCCCACGAGCATGCGCAGAGAGATGTTAAAGAGGATTCACGCAGGCCACCTTGGCACGGTAAAATGCAAAGCTAGGGCTAGGCAATTAGTCTACTGGCCGAACATAAACTCTGACATCGAGTCGTTGATCCAAAGCTGTCCGACCTGCAGAACATATGCCTATAAGCAACCACCAGAGCCTCTGATTCTACAACCAACGCCCACTCAACCATGGTACCGTGTCGGTGTCGATCTCTTTCAGTATTCCGGAAGACACTATCTGTGTGTTTACGATTCGATGTCCAATTTCCCAGAGGTGGAGCTCCTACCCGACACAACAGCCACCTCGGTTATTGATAGACTGAGTGCTATATTTTCGAGATACGGCATCCCAACGGAGGTATGCTCAGATAACGGCCCACAGTTTAGCAGCCACGAGTTCGCGCTGTTTGCAAAGCATTACGATTTCAAACATGTGAAATCCAGCCCGCAATACCCCCAATCTAACGGGCTCGCGGAAAAGGGTGTACAAATAATCAAACGCATCTTAAAGAAAACGAAAGTTGCAAACGAATGCTTTTGGCTTGGCATATTAAATTACAGGGCATGTCCTGTCGAAGATGGTCGGTCTCCTGGCGAGCTGCTGCAAGGAAGGCGGCTGCGCACACCCGTGCCGGACTTCGATCCCCTTCCTGTGATACGGGTCAAGAAACACCGACAGACAGGCCACAACGAGCGGGTGCTGCCCCGCCTTAAAAACGACGACGTGGTACGCCTGAATGGAGCGTCATGGGCGCGGAAAGCCAAGGTAGTTGGATCAGCCGGGCCGCGTTCCTTTTACGTGCGTACGGAGAATAATACCGTACTTCGGCGCAACCGTCGACACCTTTTAGCGACGAAGGAAGAATGCGAGGTCGACTTGTCAGACGACGAAGATTCGGACAACGACCGGGCCTCATCACACGGAATGACATCCACAGCGCCAACCATCACGACGGCTCTACAAACGGCAACTACGACGACTCTACAAGCGGCAGCTCAGCAGCCAACGGTTCAGCCACCGCGAAGGACAACACGACAGAAGCGGCCTCCGGAGCGATTGGGTTATGACGAGATCTTCCAGCAAACGAGCCAGAGGTGTTGAGCTCAGCGGTGAACGACCGTTGGGAAGGAGGATGTATCGTATCAGATCAAGGCGGACAAGCTATCTGGATGCTCCATTGCCACGTGCCTTTCCTTTGTCCTCTACTACACTAACCCCTTTCCACCTTCGGCTATATAAGTAACAACACGGAATAAACCAAAGCATTGTTATCCTGATACCCGAGTTGTCTATTCTTACCAGCCCACACAAGAACGATACAGTTTCCTTTTTCGCTAAGCCCTCCGCAACGAAGAAGCCGCCACTGCGCCTGCGCGCCGATGGCCTTGACTGTAGAGTTCTGGGTATCGTAACGGGTTGTGGAGGAGCGTCGCGTGACGTCGAAAACAGTCAACGAAAGCTCCCTGTGATTGTACAGAGCGCGAAACCGTCAGCGCGAACAAGTGATTGTTGGTTTTAGCTGTTTGTCTAAAAAAATCACAAGACTGCCATCAATATTATTAGTGTGTTTGGAAGTGCTCATTTGGGCCACTAACCTAAGCGGTAAAATGTGGTACCTTCTAATACCATTTCGAAGTAAAATTCGAAAAATCGCCAAGATCGTGTTCGTGGTAACGTTGTCGCGTAGTGTACATAGTCCATTTCGTAGTTACGCGTTTTGGGGACCATCTTGAAAGAAATATATTAAGTTCTTCAAGTAAAAATATATTTCGTTGAAGCATGTCTGAAAGTATAGCATATTTTAAGAATACGTTTACAAGCAAAAATATTTCACGAAGTAACCGAATTGCTCGCCTGCACTTTTGCATTATTTGCATTAACATGATTTCGGGACATAGTCTTAAGCAGAAAAACTGCGCTAACCAGGATTAGAACGATGGACACTTTTTGCGAAGAGGTTGAGATGCGCAGGGTTTTAAACCAACGGGTTCAAACGGGACAAATTCAAACGTAAAATATGTCAAGGCTACGAGTTTAAATATGAAGGGCATTTCGGGAACGGGTTGAAACGGGACAGGTTCAAGCGGGAAAGGTCGTTTCGGGAATCGGTCGAAACGGGACGGGTTCAAACGGGAATGGGTTGTGTCGGGCTACACCCCTAGCGCGCGGCTGGTGATGTCTATTTCTCGGGAACACCTACCGTAGCGTGGCGCCAGCAGGCTGCAGTTACTTAGCAGTTGCACGTAGTATAGTACTGGAGCAGGACGCATCGCTCTCACGTTTGATAGGATTGACAAAGAGAGTTTATCAGGCACTTCATAAAACGTGGGCGTGCCCAGCAAAAACGAGGACGATGAGAAAAAACGACATGAACGTCCTGGTCTTTGCTGCTCACGCACAAATTTTATGAAATGAACAACCAAGAAGCCCAAACAGCCACTCTTCCATGGCACGGAAACGCAAGGGCGTTTTCAAGCTCCGACTGGTCTCGTGTCATCATCGAAATAAGGCGCGTTCTCGGATCACTCAAGATCAGCCACCGTGCTGCCAGCCGGCGCCTCTAGTGACGATCCGAGCATGTCACGCGCTCACTGACTGACGAGGGTGACAAGATGCCCTAGGCTCGGGAGGAGAGCAGGCCACGACTAAAGTCCCTGGATCCTGGAAAGGTGGCGCCATTGCCTTTCCTCCCAGCCGGCCGAACACAAACAAATACTAACATGCAGAGGACCAAGCCGATTGGCTAATAATAGGTCTCCGTTGCTATGGCAATCCCCATTTCGGCCCTTCAAATCTTCGAAGCTTCGAGTTCTAATCCAGTCACTCCAAAATCACCACGGAGCATCATCATGCTGAAAACGTTCCGCGCCAATATAAGCGTATTTGGCACTGTGTATGCAATCAACTTATCAATCATGACCATCTCCGCGAATATTTTTCAGTTATATTGTTCTTCGTGCGTATTTCAATACAGGAAAATTATATTTTTAAGCCTCCAAGCACCGACGCCGCATGTGGTGATGGTACGAAGATGTACGCTTGTTTGGCCGGTGTGTGTATAGCAAAATCTTGGTATACAAGAAACGTATCTAGAAGGAAGTGTCTATTCTGCCGGCAGCCGGCAGAATAACCGGGGGGAAAAAGTGCCGGCAGTAGTCGCGTATTGGGTCTCGTATAAAACGGATTGTAAACACGCCTATGTGGATTAGCTCAGTGGGTAAGATGTGCGCCTCATACGCAGCAGGATCTTAGTTCAATCCCTCGAGGGATTTTTTTTTTTTTTTTCGGAATTTTGTTTTTTGTTGAGGTATTAGGCGATATTTACGACATCTCTCTTTTAGAATTAACACTGAAAAAAGAACACAAAAAAAAACAACAAAAAAACACGAATGTTGTTGACGAAACACTTCCTTTTTGGGGGTGAATGGAGGACAGCGGGGCTTGGGCCGGCCGACACGCTGCCGCGATGCGGTGGTACTGGTGGGCCAAATAGGCCAATATATTTCTAATGAGCAGCCGCAGACTGTCGCCGCTAAAGGAGGGGGAGGGGGGGGGCTATGTTAACGAGCTCCCCACTGATACACGCGCCGGAGGTGACTGCCGGTAGAATTTCGGAAAAATTATTCTGCCGGCTGCCGGCAGAATAGACACTGCCTATCTAGAAAGCTACCCGTCGCGAGCGAATTGAGATCGGTTCATGAAGAATGGAGAGGTCAAAGAGAAATTGCTCGTTTAATGAGCCAAGATAGAGATCATATGGAGAGCTTGGCGCCCCTTTATCAAGATCCAGTCGCTTTAGTCAGGACCAGATAACGCCGCTACGCCTTGTGCGCCTTCGGTCGATATGCGGATACCCTAGGAAACAAAACGACCTTTGTGTAACGCCGCGAAGTCATGGCGGGACGAAAGTAAATCCGCATTCCTTACTTCTAGAACTCATCTGGCTTGGTATCATTGCTTGCACAGCTTTAGCTTGACCTCGGACAAGGAGTCGGACTTGTGATGGTTCACGGTGCTCGGGGCGAAACTGCTGCTCTTTACGCAATCTTCAGCATCTTCGTCATCGGCACTTCATTAAAAAAAGAAAAAGAAAACATGCGGCTTTTTATTAGCAGCATACTGCGATATTTTATTGCCATTTTCTTAATTATCTTAGAGAACGTGGATATTAAAGCTATTTACAACGTTTATATTTACGTAGTTATGACGGTGTGCTGGAACAGTCCCTCGATAAAAGTTACATTATGCCTGCCGCCTTCTTTCAACGTGACTTGAACTCAGTTTGGAAACTACCATAGAGCCAGCTTTGAAAAAGTGGCTTCGATCCGTCCTCAAAAACCGAACTTATCGCGATCGCAACGCCCCCATTTCTCCCGCAGCGGCCACTCAGAGAACTGGACGTCTGCACGTATCGGTTAAGGTCGAGCAACGTTGTTAGATTACCTCAGTTTTGGTGGCTACAAGAGGAAGTGCGCCGAACACAAAATTGATAGCATACCACTTGTTCATGACGCCGGTGGCGCACCGGTACCTAAAGCCTCTTCATTTTTCAAAAGTAGCGCAAGGTGTGTCGATGCACGAGGCACGTGCAACGTGCAGCCCTTGGGAAGATCATGGCGGCACAGCGGAGCACTGATCGGGCAGTGATATAGTGTAGCACTGAGCTAGATTTCAGACGCCCTGTTCTTCCCAGAGGCGGCGCGCGGCACGTGTCTCGAGCTTTTTCACAACAACGAATGGCGCTACTTTTCCCAGGATAGAGGGGTTTTACTGGTACCTACAGGTGCCCTGCGCCTGGTGCCATCGGGCGGCACACAGCGGTACGACCCGTAGAGTGCGTCCTGCATGAGCACGTGTATAGTACGAGACGCTCTCGTGCCCCGCGCGCTCGCGCACAACACTTGAAACTCTTCATGCCATGCCCCTTCGAGCAGAAATGCACCGGTATCTTACCGGTATCCTGGCTACAGCGCCACTTTTTCTTCATGAAGCGACGGCACGTGGAACTACCGTAGAATGCTGAGCGTTCGGTACACATACCCCTATAGCCACCATACCTCAGTTGTGGAACTCCCGTGGAAAGGGGGTACCCCCCTCAGTCGCTTCAGTTCACCGATGATGATGATGATGATGATGTTTGAAGCGCCATCTAAAAACTGCGCGTCAAAACACATTTTTTTAGTGTGGCGACGTTGGTTAATATGTTCATGATTAGTGGAGTCGACACAGCGCACAAAAAACCAAGACAAAGTAGAAGGGTATACTAGGACAAGCGCTTAATTACTCTCAACTGAAATTTCCATTGAAACGAAACACCAAAGTAAACAACAGCAACCCACCACATCATGGCCAGTTCAGCGCATGTTGAGATAACATCTCCCTTTGCTATATAGAATGACTGATGCTTGGCTTACACATTCCCCAGTCGCTTCTTTTTCGATCGTGTTGGCATATAGAATTTCCCGTCAACTGATCTTCCACCTTCCAGCAATTGTGGCCTGATGGAAGTCGGGTTGGCATCCACAATCTGCACAATAAAGTTGCAGATGCCCCCCGCTGTCAACCGCACATTTAAAAAAAAAGTGCCGATTTAACTCTTTTTGGAGTGTAAGTGGATCGTAACAGAATCTACTCTTTAAAGACTAACTATAACTCTTCGAAGGCAGGTGTATGTCTAACTCTCCCATACGAGTGTTCACTTAACCCTTATATAGAGAGTCACGACAATAGTTAAGGGGAGAGTCAGGGCTTCTCTTTTGATGTGTGAGTGTGAGTGTTAATTTCACTTCTTTGTGTAGAGTAACTATAAATCCATGATAAACGTTGCCTAGACTCTTCGATGAGAGTAAATTTCACTCCTTTGTGTAAAGTCACTATAACTCTATCAGAAGTGTTACCTAAAGACTTTGTTGACGAGTGAAGGATGCTCTCCAGGGAGAATAACCTTCATTCCTTCGTCTAGAGTAAATACAATTCTATTAGAATGTTGCCTGCACTCTGTATTCAAGAGTTACGCGTACTCGCCAGGAAGAGTTACCCTCACCTCCATCGTGTAGAGTAACTACAACTCCATTATAAGTGTTGTCTAAACTCTGTATGCA